TGGAGAAAAATAGTAAGAAAATTTGAAACCATGTGCCTTTGATAGAGTTTCCTAAATTTTAGTTTTATGTATTGGAATCTCGCTAAGAGTTAAAGGGTTGGTTGGTAAAATTTTTCTTAAAAAGATTCTTAGTTATCAAATTTTTTATAGTTTTTGAGTAATTTGCCATTTTCTTAATTTTAATTTTATAGTGTTGTTTGTGCATATATCAAAAAACCAAATGCACTTATTTTTTCTCCTCTACTATATAGCATAATTTCTTGTTGAGTACGTTGTTTTGTTTTTTTTTTGGGCTGATCATTAAGCTTTTTTATAAATAAATATACTGTTTACAAATATATGTCACTCTTTGCCATTTTAAAACGTTTCGAGCCAAAAACTCACCATCAGTTTAAAATTTAAAGTAAGCGAAATTCGGACCTGTATATTTCAAATTAAAATATACATTTTTAATTAATATAAAATAATTCAAACAAAATATTGACTTTATACTTTTTTAAAAGTGTCAATTTTTTAAATTTTATAATGTTAATTAAAGGGATATCGGATATAAAACTAATTAAACTATCTAATGATTCCTCTATTTTTTTTTTCTTAACAATTACGAAATATTTTTAGAACTGCTTGTAATGCCCTCCTTAGAGTATTTCGATGTATGGCTGCCAAAGAGTTTCTTACTCTTTATTCCAATGTAATAATATCTTCAGAAGGGACGAAGCAATAAACTTAGTTTTTTATGTGCCCCCATTAATAACCATCAAGAGACGTTAGGTAAGGCGAACGAGCAGGTCCAGTCTTTCGCAACATTGTTAAATAATATCCACCCAATTGGTCCTCGACACCCTCATCAGCCACCTCAATAATGACAGTCACTACACAATAGCATATGCAGATGACCTGGTCAATCTGCAAACAGGGAATTTTAAGAGCATGCTGTGCGAAAGAATGCAAGTAGCTCTAAAAATTATAGAAAAGTGGTGCAAGGACCATTCACTGTCTATCAATCCTAAGAAGACAGAAATGGTCCTTTTCACAAGGAAAAGGTTGAAAATGGAATTGGAACCTCTAGAACTCCTAAACACAAAACTACACTTTGCAACAGTGGTGAAGTACCTAGGTCTCACCTTTGACAGCAAGTAAACATGAAACTCGCATTAAGAAAACAGAGTTAAAAGAGCATACATTGCTTATGAAAAATGCAGCCGAACCGTGGGGCGCATCTGGGGTTTCTCCCCCAGAGTCGTCGCATGGACTTACACGGCTATCATAAGACCTATGCTAACATACGGTGCAGTTTTCTGGGTACCAAAAACCCAAAAAATTAACATCTATCCGTAAACTAGAACAAATTAAAAGAACAATATGTCTCAACATAACAGGAGCCATAAAAACAACACCGACAAGAGCGATGGAATTCATTCTTAGTCTCACTCCCCTTGATATTTACATCAAGGAGGTTGCTCTAACGATAATGACCACCCATCCGCATGGTCGGAATAGAACCTGATGTAGGATCTGGTGAGGCGAGACATCACTTTTGGCAGGAGACGTTGGATACGCTCCCACTGCTTCAAGCGAACATGGACTCCATCTCACCAAAATATATCTTTCATAAGCTATATAAAGTTATAATAGAACAAATAGAAGAGCCGGAAGTGGCAGGTACGATTTATATCTACACCGACGGTTCTAAAACAAAACAAAGCTCAGGATGTGGAATATACTCCAGATTCTTAAACCTAAACATAAAATGGACTGTGAGCAATAGTGCCAATGTAGTTCGAATAGAGCTAACGGGGATTCTCATAGCAGCAAAAGAAATAACCAGAAACAATATCACTGAAAGAAAAATGCTCATCTATACAAATAGCAGACAAGCACTACTCACCCTGACCAGACCACGAAATTATTCAGAGTTAGTACTAGAATGTCACTAAGCTTTTGCCGAAGTATCCATCAACAACGTGGTCTCTTTTAAGATGGATTAAAGGTCACGCCACATCGAAGGGTAACTGTCTTGCTGATTTACTAACCAAAAAAGCAGCCAATCAAATACTTTTTGGACCTGGCCCTTCTGTTGGCCTGACAAAATCGGCAGTGACAGACCTAATCAAAGAACATTCCCTTGTGAAATTCAAGGAAAGATGGGATAAAACAATAAACTGCAGAGTTGCCAGGGAGCTCTTAAGTTTTCCTGATAACACTGCAGCAAACAAATACTTGACTATGACTAGACAGAATCTACGCCTAGTCACAGGCATTCTAACTGGTCATTGCCAAGTACGAAAGCATCTCCATATCATGGAGCTGTCAGAATCCGCACTCTGCAGAGGGCACGAACAAGAAGATGAGACAATCGAGCATATCCTTTACGATTGCTCGACGCTCTCATTTATTAGAAGATTTGTGTTCGGCGAGTATCGCCTAACACCGGCCGATATAAGAAAAGCATCAAGCACCTCTTGGCGACGTTGTCAACTACATTAAATCTGTAGGCTGGCTTACAAGCTAGGAGGTGCCTATCTTCTTAGGAGGATGCACAATGGGCCTAATGAGGCCTAAGTGCCGTGGGGTAACCCACCTTCCACACGTTACAGATACAGATCCACCCAATTGTCAAAGGTTCCTTAGTGGGGCTGTCGTACCTCAAGCGTGTTATAGGCAGGACATCTGACATTTTGAAACCATCTTAAACCTTTGCCAATTAAAATTGCCATAGTCCTAAGAAATAGTCATCCAAAATCATAAAAATACCTAGTATATCGCATCACATGTTAAAACTAAGTCAGTGTTGTAGTCTTCTAGGTTCTACTAAGCTCTTCTGAGACCAACGTTGCAGAATCACTTATATAACGATGTCCTTAGACTAATAATACCAACAGAGGTACCGAACGTAGCTTCCTCTGACGACTCATTTGTATATGGCAACAAGTCGTGGATAATTATTCAAAATTCCAACAGAGCACTGGAAAATATCAGCAATTTGATGACGGTAAACAAACTGAAGCTAGCAAAAGAGAAGACAGAAGCAATATTTGTTCTCAAAGGCACACGAATTCATACAGGAATTATTGTACGCATAAAAAATAAAATATCTAGGGATATACCTAGACGATGGTATGAGATTTACTGTTCAGATACGGAAAACCACAAAAAAGCTTTAAAGAGAGCAAAAAGACTGCAAAAGTACCAAACATCGGTGGTCCTGAAAACCTGTAAAGAAAAATGCTGCTAGCAATTCAACTATTACATTCAAAGGTGCGTCGGTATGGTCCGAAGTATTAAAATATAAGAAATACGCCTAATATGATAAAATAATCATGCTAATAAGAGTCGCAAGTATACATAATAGTCTTAACGACAGCCCTTCAAGTGATTGCCGAAATCATACTGGTGCACCTATTAAAGGAAGAAAAAACTAAGCTACATCATAGGTCATGAAGAGGCCACGAACTATCGACATCGAATGCCGTAAGTGAGGAAATTCTAGAGAAAAAAGGCAAAAAGAAAACCTAAGGGGTCAGTGTACTAAGGAACTGATACCAAAAGTAAGAAGTTCAAATATGATCACAAAAATACTAATTACTACGGTATTCAATTTTTAACTGGTCATGAATCATTCAGCTTCTTCACAAAAGGAATTAGTAAGAAGGTGGAAGACCGATGCTAGCGTTGTAATAAAGTGGAAGATTTAGATCATGTAATCTTTCACTGCGCAAAATATAATCTTAAAAAGAAACAGTTGTTAGAAAAGATTGGAATGCAGTTGATAGCTAATAATTTTCCCACCTTAGTAATAAGTAAAGAGAAGTTTATCAAAATAATACATTTGATTATTGATTGCATGAAAGAGGAAAAAAGAAAGAGATGATACGCCAAGCAAATGACGCACCTGAACAGCGGAGGCAAACACTTGCTGTCCCGATTTAATGACACCATTGGCATTTCCAGGACAGAAAGTAAAGAACAAGGTTGATTATTTTTTAGCCAGTAGGCCTGAAGTGGAGATTGCGGCACCATCGATAACCCCCGCTATATCTTTCGAGACATCAGATTGTTGCTAATGTCCCTGAAGGGTTTTTACCACCACCTAAAGTAAGTTATTTCCAAACGAGTGTTTCTAATACTACAAATATGGTAATTCTGCTTGATAAAATTATCACAATTACAAAATCTTTGTTTTGTAAACCTTAAACTATAAAAAACCTATATGGATGAATTTATTAATAATTTAATATGCTATGTTCTGTTAAATTAGGAATTTCTGTTTTGTTAGATATTACCATTTCCTACAGCCATTAAAATCCAATTTATTTTCTGTTGAGCTTTCTCTTTGTCGAAACTACCATATATTAAAAGATGCGCCAAATACAACTCAAAATGCATGACCACATTTAAGAGGTTGGATTCCCTTCTGAATTTATTAAAAGGTTTCTTGTTTTATATTATAATAAACCAAATCAGTGCGTGAATTTCTGTTGTTTATGTAGACGTACAATATGACAAACTTTTCTTCGTCAGATTATCTTCTATTCATTAAAAAAAATTGAAGCAATAACAGAACAACGCAACAAGATAACAATTAAACGCACAGTAACACAATCCTCCGTTCAGTAGGCTCAAATATGTAGAAACGGTCCTGCTCTCAGAAAGAGATTGGGATTTTTCTGTGGACGCGATACCATGAGGCAGTGACAAAACTTATTGAACGGCAATGTATCTAAATATCGGCATTATGGAAATGTATTATCAAATATGAGACACTTTGTGGGCGTGTATCTGTCATTCAGGAAACATTTACGTTCGTGAAGGTGATAGTTATATTCGACAAGATTGAAATATTCGAAAGGAAATTATTAGTAAGAGAAAAATGGATAACTAGCTTTTAATAAGACCACCTAGGTAAAAACAAGTACATAAAGTAGTATTAAATGTACTAAGGCTCTTATCTATTTTTATTTATCTATATAAAGTAGATTAGATGAAACAGGAAAAACGGTAAAACATATTGTGGTGGCACAAGATTATATTTCAAATCTATATAGCATTAAGCAAAAAGTGTTCGATTGTAAAATTTAATGCATTTTTAATATATGTATTTATTTAGTTTAAGAACTGGTTGAAATAAATAAAACCGCACAATAACACACTAAAGTTATATTTAAAATGCATTTCTACTGAAATTATTTACATTTTTCATTTCCGTAGTTTTAACAATTCTTCCATAAACAATTCTCTATCCAAATTTTCAATCATAACGATATTTGGTTCTTTAATTTTTAAATGGTCTAAAACTACTTGGCCTCTTGTAAGCTCTCCATGCAGTTCCACAGAGGCATGGTGTCTGCTACTTTTAGTAATATGTAATTCGGGCTTAACAAAACAAAAAGCTAAAAATGCGTCACATGGGATGTAATATTCATGATTGTGTACCTCCGATACTACCTTCTCTGCTCTGGTTAAAAGTTCTAGTGCGGGTGTGGAACTGCCTAGAGTTTCAAATCTCCATTCCTAAAAAATATAATATTAATAAAAATGATTACTTAGAGCAGATATAAAGAACAAAGAATAAAATCAAAAAAATAAAAAATATCATGGGAAAAGTTTGGAAAAGCAATCGAAAAAGATTGTAAGGGAAATCCAAAACTGTTTTGTTTAAGTATTTAAAAATCTAAGAAGAACAAACACTATAGAAACACAATTAAGTCAAAATAAGAAAAAATAAGAAAAGAGGAGAAATACATAATGTTCAGATGGAAAGAATATTTTGAGGAATTACTAAATACAGAAATAATGGACGCAGTAAAGAAAATGGAGATGGAAAATACATAGCACAGAAAACAGTGATATTTGACAAAGCGGAATTAATAGTAAACTGACAAACCTAATTTCCAGAAGATAAAACACCACTAAAAACAATGTGAAAACGAATACTATGCAATCAGAAGAACGTTTGACCTGATTACTATTATTCTATTTTAATAACAAATGAAAGTATCAGGTCTTTGGTAACTTACTAAAGATATTTGTGGCATCAGACAGGCTTCCCAAGGGTAAATATACGTGGGACATTTTAAAGTTTCCAAAACTATATAGGCCGCTTCTGGATCTGTATGGAAGTTAAATTCTGCTGCACATGTAGAATTTCCTATACCTACAACAGGAAGAAGAGTTCATAGACAAATTACCTTTTAAAATAACTGTTTAAGTTACAGTAATTTGTTGAAGTATTTTTTTATTACCAGTATAATTTCCTCCCATTAACCAAACGTCCTTGATTTTGTCAACCAAATCATCATATAATTTTATAGCCAGCGCTAAACTTGTAAGTGGTCCTAAACAGACCAACGACACCTCGTGTGGATTTGCACTAACTAAATCATTGATAGCGATAGAAGCTGGAGTGCTATTAACTATTGATAAATCTGGTTGTCGGTCATATTTTAAGTCTCCAAAACCATCCTCACCGTGATATCTGATTTCTTCACATTTGTGCAGGAGAATGTGGTTTTTTGATCCCTTAAATACTGGAATCTGAAAAAATAACGCTTAGTTTAATTCGCGTTTTCCTTCTGGAATAAATAGCATTAATTTTGGCAATTTAAAATAAAATATGTGATTAATCCAGATTTACTAGGATTTCGCACACTATCTATTTATAAATTGTTACCTAAAAACCTCATCCTAGCCTTGCTTTTTTAAATAGTACCTGCCATATTTTTAGGTCAATTTTGTAATGGGTTTTATTCAACATTTAGTATGGAGGTATAGTACTATTATAGAGGTGCTATGAGGCAATTGGTTTTCATAAGAAATGTGTTATTTAAAATGACACTACTGGATGCGGCATAGAATGACTTCTAAATTTTTCTATTTTATTTATTGCTCAAATACTATTTTTTACAGAATTATAGTCTGAATTTATTGACTATCGTGCTTGGAACATTGGACTTGAGAGAGACATGAGTATATGGGTCATATTATGAATTTTGAGTGTAGGAGTGTGCGCTCAACTAAAAAAGGACTATACATACAGATTACACTGCATACGATTTGCTATTATGAACATCTATAGAAACATATCTAATTGGTAATTCATTTTGAAGTTGAAGGCCTGAATTGTTTGCCATTTTCATTATGTAACTTTTTGGTTCGTATTTATAAACCGGTTTCGGTCACTTCGCCGAAACCATCCTTGAAGTTCGAGTGACATATTCAGTTAACATTGCAGTACAATAAAACAAATATGTTACTCCCCATCGCAAAATTCTCGTGCTTTACTCGTATTTCGATTTTTCATCAAGGACGGTCTTGGCCAAGCCAATATTACGATATTTTAATTACACACAAACAGAACTAAAATAGTTGATTTTATGTTTATTTGAAATAATAAGAGATTACAAATTCGAGGACTGTTCTCTTTCCGTTTAGTTAGTAACAGTTGTTGTCAAATATACCTGATTGTTACATAAGTTTAGAGCATGGATATAGTAAGGACAGGAGTCGCTACTCGTGTACGAAAGCGGTATCACATGCGCCATATTGTTACTATAGGCGTTTTCTAAAATTCAACAAAATGATGTATTGATGATGGATCACGTGACCAATATATGACCCGACTGCTACAATCCTGATTTTTATCTGATGAAAATTATTTAAGAACGTCTGACATTTGTTATTTTGTAATATTAACTTTTAAACTGTCTTTATTTCATGAAAACAAACATTTCAAGGACTTTTTAATAAGCATAAAAACTAAAGACAAGTACGGGCAATACAATAATTGAAAAATTATTTACCTGCCTTCATTTGCTTGCTATATATCTAACGCTAACAATCTTATTTTAAAAGTAAGCCTACTTAGATGTTAGTTTAAAAAAGCCCAAAGAGTTTTTTTTTTTTTTCATATTAATTCTAATAAGAATTTTGAGCAAACTATTCCTATTTCCTTATCCGTTTAATATTAATTAATAATGTATAACCTTAAATTACGTGATTCATCAATGCATCAACATAATCGAGTTGAAGGATTTGGTGACAACCATCTGAGAATTAGAGTGAATTTAAGAATATGATGTATGACTCATCTAAAAAAATTTGATGGATAAAAGAACAGTTTTGATGAAATCTAGATGGCATCGATGAATATTAGAAAACGCCTAATCCTAGTATCATTGGTGACATTTTTACTTATAAGTTTTGTGGAAAGTGTTTAATTTTTCGGTATTTATTGCGTTTATTTCAGTTTTATGTAGTTTTAATTGAGAGACCTTAAGGACATAATGGTATCATTTACTTTACGAGATTGTATACGCCTAGATCGTGTAGAAATCAAAAAATTATAGGGAATAACTATTGAAGTATTGGGATAATATATCATAACCCAATGAGCACGCGTACGTAAAAAAACGTTCAATTTTTAACCAATAAAGTTTATTTATACCATATAACGTTAAATTAACGTTGAAAAATCAAGTTGGTGTTCATTGGGAAGTTAGTGAACAGAGTCATACTGAGAATAAAAATATGATTATCTAAACCAGCGTTATTCAAAGTATGGTCCGCGGAGCCCTGGGGCTCTGCAAAGCCTTTTTGGGGGCTCCGCGAAGAAAATAATAGTCATAATAAAAAAAAGTAGTACTATATAGCGACAAGAGGGAGGGTTGCCTTGAAGACTTTTTTTTGATGTTACTAGGAGGAATTAGGATAGTAGCTTCAGGACATTTTTTTTAGAAATCACTAGAAGGAAGATATGATTTAGCTTTTTTTTAGAAATTACTATGAGGAAGAAAGATATGAATTTGCTTGGATGTGTTTAGGGCCCCGTCAAATATTTCGCTTGTCAAAAAGGTTCCGTCGCCAAAAAAGTTTGAGAACCACTGATCTAAACATTATTATTTAGAAATTTCCTAAGAACTCGGAAAAACTGAGTAAGTGCATATCATGTTTATAAAAAGATTATTACTAACCGACCAAATATAATGTCCTGTGTTCAAGAAATTTCTAGGAAAAACATTTTGATCGATCTTCATTGTGTAAAGCCTAATTGAAAACAATTGGGCATTCAAAATAAACTGGCGCTACCAGTGAGTTTTGACTTCAGAGTAGTACAGAGAGGACAGTAAACAATGTTTGTGTCGCCTTGATAATATGGTCGAGAATCGCATCAAAGATTCTAATTGGAGAGAAATAGATTAATATCTCCATCTCTATATGTATTTTTCCAGTTATTTTTAGACAACTATTTAAGTTTTTACTTTTAATTCATTCAAGTGTGGTGGTGTTAAAAGAGACTTTGGTTTGTAGGGTTTATTTTATACTAGGAAAAAACTTGTGTTTTATGTGGTTTCAAATATAAAAGAGAAAGTGAGGTTACGTTTCACTCGTTAATATAATTTATTACCAAAGAACATGGGCGTCGTTTTGGGAGAAAAAAGGAAAATAAAATATAAATATTAGAACAAATTTTTTTTTATTATATTTAGTATTCTAAAATACGAATTAGAAGAAACTTATGGTTAGAAGAATTTGAATTTGTACATTACATTTGTTCAAGGCAGTTTTTAGAGGACGGCTTTGCTGCAACAAATATATTTATAAGTTTGTACGTTTCTAAATATTATCGAGCACTTTTAAAAATTGTATCTTTACTTTTTAGGAACTTTGTATTGCACAAAAAAGCAGGAAAAAGAGAGTACTGGTGAACCTGTCACCTAAAAAAAATAGAAGGTATTGTGTTTAATAAATTTGGAGAACCAATAATATATTTGAATATTTTTAGTATAGTAATTTCTACCGGTACTAAATTATTTGATTATGGGCCTTCTATAAGAGTATCAAACTTGCCAACAAATAAAAGAAGTTATAGTTTGAACAAAAGTATCTTATACATTTCAATATTAAGTTGAAGGTATGACTCTAAAACTAACATCAACAAAATTTAAGTCACCATTAATTAAGAAGTAAATCAAACCTTGGATTTAATCTAAGCTGATTGTATATGAATACTTATTTCAGAAAACCTAGGTATGTTGGTAACTTTACATTGAAGTTTCTAGAAAATCGGTTATTTTTGTTGCCAACACTACTGCTTCAAACTTACGAAACAAAAATAAAACATTATAGACAATTAAGATGAGTGAAAAAGTATGTGCAATATCAAAAAATTTGTGCAGAATCACCGATTTGAAAAGAAAAAAATATGTAATTAGTTTTTGGACGCATACTGTATATTTGTACATGGTCTAAAATATAAACTATCATCAGTAATATAAGAATATTTAGTTACCTAATTTAAATAAAGAAACTAGATAATTTATTTTTTATACGTCATTAGAAAAGTAAATAAAATTCTTATATATTTTTTTTAATATCCTGAAATACTTCTACTTATACAAAATAGGTAATTATATATTGGTTTGTTTTATTCTTATTAGGTATATTTTCTCATGTTTAAATTAAATGCTTTTTGTATTTCTTCAGTTCAACCATTGTATAGGTTTTCAATAGGTATAGATATTTTATAGAATTTCAAATCATTGCTTTAATCCTAAATGATTTAGAAGCAATAAAATATATTTGCATGATTATTATTATTATTATATTTTTTGACATGATAATAATGTCATATTTTGTTTTCAGTTCAGTAAAAACGTACTTATCTTTTAAAACATTATTTTGTATTTTTTTATCTATTTGCAGTCACTATTTTCACATTTAAAATAACCCAAAGCAATTCGTTTACGTACGCTACTGCTGAAGATTCTAATATGAGCGAGAAAGAAAGAGAAAAAGAAACAATGATTTTAATAGAGCGACATCAACATTGTATAGATTTATGCAGGGGTAGCCTATCTGTACATATATTATAAGGTTTTGACAGGCAACAGGCAACATTATGACAACTCTATAGGCCTGGTGATTTAACAGGGTCAACGAAATAGATAGTTATTTAGATTGATCATTCATGGCTTAAGCCTTGAAGTAAAAATATAGGTAATTATTTTTTTTTACTATATTGGACTGCAGAAAATTGGTTTGTAAATTTATGTTTGCTAAATCGATTCTAAATAATGAGCACTTGTTAGGCAATATGGCCACTTGCAAACGACCCGCTTTTAACAATCTATATAACTATATATGTATCATTGGTCCTGTCAATGACAACAGGCCCACAGGGTTGCCATATCTAAACTGGAATAACTGGTCCCTACTAATCCGTTAATCCCACATTTTCACAATATTTAAACCATACCTGAGCTCAAGCTCAATAACCATGCAGAAACAGCACATATAATTGGGAGCAGATCATCCAACCATTTGGAAATTAATAGATGGCTTGCGTCAGGTGCAGAAAGGTCAAGATTTATATTTCGAGCAACTTGTGGCGGGCAATCTCCCACCATTGAAGTTAAAAAAAATACAGGAATTCAGATGAACGCATTTTACGGCTTGTTCAAAATTTTGAAGTAAACGAGTATATTTTAGAATATCTAAGAGGACTTGCTCATAACTACAATATGTAATTTCGTGAA